TGACTTGAAGTGATCCTCCCAGTACTTTCCATTGGACCCCAATAGAAACTGAACAGGTTTGGGGTTGACTATTACTGTATACTATATATATACATATATATATATATATTATATACTATATTGTCATATTGCAGTCTGATGATATACGATATATAGACGCGATTATTGATATGTGCTATGTCCACGACTTATGATGAATATGAATATGATGAATTACTGTACTCAGGTCTGGAGGTGTGCTAAGAACCTATCACCATTTTGGCCAACCTCATGGCTATCTACATCTTTGGAAGGCTCATGGCATGTCCTGCTCCAACCCCTTTCGCCGCAATTCTGCGCATCCCGAAATAGTGCAGATTGTTACAAAACAGGCACCGTTTCAGCAAGTTCAAACTGCAACAACTTCCTTTTTGTGCCTTACCAGAAAAGTGGGCAAACCAAGTAACCCCTTCAAAATCATGCATTTCAATGCAGTTCAATCACTTCGCTAACAGATACTCATGGCATTCATGTCAGACAAAGAGTCCTCCACGTTTGGCGCAGCCATTGGCGCAATGGACAGCGGATTGGACCCGGACTTGGTCCAGAGACTTGGTAGCGGTTTCGTTGTTTTCCCTGGCCGGTTGACCGATGGTCACATGATATTGGTAGATTATTACTTATTACAAGACATGCCGTTTTGAATTATTTTGATATGTTTTATAATTGGTAGATTTTCGCTGTAATGAACTATGTTATTATCAATATGGTAGATTCTCACATTGCTCGGTTTTCGGGAAATCCGTTGAGATTTCCTCAGAAAGGTACCGGCTCCCAGCCTCAGCTGCTCAATCCCCGACTAAATTGCGACGTCCAAGTCGATCTGAAAATCGGGCTAGATGTTTATCACTCAACATTTCCATTGCTTGGCAATGCTTCATCATTTTTCAAGTATCCAACACGGCCACTTCAATAGCAGCGATGCCCATGGCTAAGGACCATCAAACCCCCGGGCACCGGTGCCAGCCGTGCCAGCCGTGCCAGCAGCCAGCGAAGCCTCACCAGCGCGGCAGGTGCCGTTTCGGCGAAGCTCAAAAGCGGGGTCAGCCAATTAAAGACAATATGTATCAATAGGTATATTTTCAATACAGCTGTATGACTGTATGACTATTTGAGTAACAATCAACTATCAATAAACTGCGGATTTTAAGTACTTAGCTTTGAGATATAAATATAGGTATAAATTCAACGATCATGTACTGTACTTGTTTACAGAAATGGGCGATGCAGTTTATCATAGTTTATCTATGTCTGTAGTGTAAGCCATTCAAGAAGGTAGGATACACTGGTAAAGCTTCTGGAGTTTTCATGAGTGTTCTTGATTGCCAGAAAAAACGACATGAATGTTCAGCACCTACTTGGAAAGTAAAACCTAATAACCTAATATAAACTATGAAACCATGGTTCACCTAGCCATGAAAGTAGCTATTTTGGGGCTCCCACAACAGCGGAAAATCTCCGTATTTTCGAGACCTGTTAAGCACTTGGCTGGCTACGTTAACTCTGGAAGATTTTAAGGACATTCCAGCGATTCCGTTTCAACGGGGCTGTTTCACCAGAAAATTCACCAATATCCAATGATCTGGTTGGTGGTTTAGAACATGTTTTTCCATAATATATGGGATAATCCTTCCCATTGATTAATATTTTTCAAGATGGTTAAAACCACCAACCAATGATTCACGTAAGAATTCCTGGTAAATCTTAATATTATTGATGTGATTGATATGTGCCATGCTCAATAGTTTGATTTTGCACCCACATTGGAGAATGTTCATCCATGTTCATAGGTCATAGGTCATAGTAGGTGTTTTGACCATGGCACATATCTTCAGTTAAACTTGCAATGTCTTGGACTAAATATAAGGTAAATCCTATGGTAAATCCTCCATGTTGATCATGAAATGTCAGGTAAATCCTCCATTTTCCTATGGTAAATCGCCTATATCCTCCATGTCGGCTCCAATCGGAAAGTGTCGACTCACTTAGGTCAACAGTCCCTTCATCGCGTTCCATCCTTGCCGTTGGGAGAAGATCTCAAAGCTCACGCGCGCGAGAAGTATCGCCTGACGACCACGGACACCTGTGGGGTACATCTGGGGCATCTTCCCTATGCCGGGAGACCAAGGCTTTGGATGATGAGATAATGTGGTTAAAACGAATAAAAAACCATCCAGGGAATAGTTTTATTGGGAATAATGATCCCCCAATTGACGAACTCCATGATTTTTCAGAGGGGTAGGTCAACCACCAACTAGGATCATGTGGGTAAAACACATAAACACCACCCATTTGGGAATGGTTTATACCACCTATAAAACTGGTGATTTGGGGGATGGTTTATTGTTTTACCCACATTCATCTCTGCTCCCTAATACTAAAACACCCCCCCACATGCTAAACTCGGTGATCTATTTTTATGATTAGGGGGTATTTATTATTAGGGTGCCCCTAATAATAAAGCACAAACCTTAATAAAAAAATAAAGAAAAAACAATTTCAAAATCAATTCCTGTAAATCCCTTTTTAAAATCCTTGTAAGATATTGCCAAAAATTGGATTTCGAAGCTTTCCCCTAATAATAAAACACAATTCTTAATGAAAGAAATAGACATTTCGATTCTAAAATCAATTAAATCCCTTTTTAAAATCCTTTTAATATTGCCAAAAATTGGATTTGGAAGCTTTCCCCTAATGAACAAAAAACCTTAATAAACAAATAAAACATGATTTCAACATCAATTAAATCCCTTTTTAAAATTCCTTTAAACAATTGCCAAAGATTGGATTTCGAAGCTTTCCCCTAATAATCAATCAAATTAAAACCTTTTTAAAAAGAATAAAAACACATGATTTCAAAGTTGATGGGACCCTAATAATGAACTTACGGGTCTCGTTCTATTTGAATTAATATGGGGTACAAGCCACTATTTCACCATCCTGTTCTCCTATTGATTTTCAACTACCACAATTGAGAACGCAATTGTGAGCAACCAAAAAAATCCGAGAGTGGCAATCCACTCCTATGTTTATTAATTGGGGGAGTTTTAGTAGGGAGAAGAGATGAACTTCTTTGAAAACCATCCAACCAGCTGCGTTTTTCTTGTGAGATTCCCAATGGGATAGAAAAGTAGGGACTTAACCAGAGACAGTGTGTAGACAATCTTGGGATAATCCTTGGATGATAAGCACAGTTATGGCCATGGCTACCAGTTATAACTGGTTATTTTTATGGGATTATACAGTCTATAAATGGGGTTATAAGTACTTATAATTGATAGGCCATAACTGTACTGCATTTGCAATCAAAAAGTGGTGATTTGACCAGTGGGGGCGCCAAGTTATGGATGTTGGTTTATTTTCACCCAATTGATTCTAGATACTGACCCACCATAACTCCAACAGCCAACAGTGATTGTACTTATAGCATGTTATGAACCAACTGAGCTACCGAACTAAACCTCCAGATTGTTACCATATTGTTGGTACCCTAAGTCATAGCTGGTGTAGCTGGATGTTGTTTCCCCCGAAATATGGTAGTAATACGTAATAATAGGTGCTGGTTGGTGGTTTGGAACATTTTTTATTTTTCCATATATTGGGAATAATCATCCCACCTGACTAAAATGTTTCAGAGGGATTGAAACCACCAACCAGTAGTAATAGGTGGTAATACTATGTCATAACCCATCCCAGTATAATTTGTTGAAGATGTTGCAACCTGCGACGACATCCACCGTGTGTCACATGCACAAGGTTAAACATTAAGTTTCCAATGCTTGATGTTTGAATTTCCATTGCTTTTACATTTGATCAGAAGATGAACAATCTGAACCGTTGTGTTTGGGCTGTTTGGGTGAACTCTTCACTTTGGATTGAAATCCGTTTCGTTTCTGTAGCTTCAGTTCCATGTTTTGTGTTTTTGTGAATTTCCTTACATATAAGTATAACTATAATTATGTAAACCAGAATTGGTTGAAGTGATGTTTACCCTCTGGTAAACGTTTACATATGGAAAATCACCATTTTCAATAGCTAGGTTAAATTGCCAGAGGCTAAAAGCAGGCAAGCCCTTTTTGGATTCCACCAGCTCATCTGCTGAGGTGAATCTGCCAGGATATACCGGTTTCATCCCCGGTAAGGCCCACGCGTTTTTTGGTGCAGCGGTGTTCACGCGAAAAAACGGGGGAGTTTTGAGAAGATGTTTTTGGTGTTTCCCCCCATTTTCAGACAAAAACATCTTGGTTTTGCCATCAAAAACGATTGTTTACGTCTCAAAAAGGGATGTTGTCCAAGAAATTTATGGGGTTAATATAGTTATATAGTGAAAATGGATGGTTTTATTATCAGCAACACTTGGATTGCACTGTCAGAGTACTGGTAGGCAATCTAACAGCAACTGCCATGGAAAAAATGCAATGGTTCATATCTAAATCATCTACAAATGGGTCATGTTCCATGGCTATATTAAGTTGCCACTGATTTGAATACAGTGAATATCGAATTACCAGAGGGTACGAGGGTATCTCTAATTATCTGGTCTATTCTGTGTTTGTGCCATTCTATTAACAGAATAGATGACAATATATAATATCCTTAATAATTGACATATAGGATATTAGGATATATTAACTTAGTAATTACTATATATCCTATATGTCAAGGTTTTAGACCACCAGATGTTGTTGTCAGTGAATCTAAGGGATGACTGTGCCAAGAGTGCATGGAGAGGACGGTAATGGTGTGCCCTGTGCCCCGATACTACATTGAGAAGCATGGCAGGTGGTTGCCTCCTGCACATATGTGCAAAGCTTAACGATACTTCTGTCGCATCCACTTTTGGAATCCACGAAGTATCTGGGCTGCTCGCTAGCCGCAATGTTTTTCAGAATAGAAACAAATCCCTGGCCCCGCCGGCGTTGTGCCGGGGAACGCGTAGAGTGAGTTCCGCGAAAGTTGCGATGCTTCACTCGCGCAGCGCGGCACTCTGTCTGCTTGTGGCTGCAGTTGCTGGCTGCGAAGACATGTCACTATTGCAGTTTTCGCAGATGCTTGAACCAGGGAAGTGCGGTGATCAAGGGTTTGGGAACTGATTTCATCTGATTTCTAAGTCGGCTACACAACCTAAGTGGGATTGAACAGGGGTCCTTGTCGTATGCTGTTTTGGGAGGGATAAAGATGACGTTTTGGTGCTTAAATAGCGGTTTTCGCACCCTTCCTGGTGAGTTGTTCAAAGTGCTTGAGCACCAGAAGATTGGCCATCTTGTTTATCTCGCAAGATTCAGATGCTCAGATTATTATATTGGAAGATATCAGAGGAAAGCTTAGACACTTTGGAAGATTGGATAAATATATAATCGTTGACAATATCCCGATAGCCCGTAAATATCGGTGATGTTTATCGACACAAAAAAATAGTTTGATCAACATTGGGAAGTCATGATAAAACTATTTTTTGTGTCGATAAACACATGATCAAACTATATATTTTGATAGTTTTTATCAACACATGATAGCCCATGATTGACCACCAAAGATTGGGAAGTCATATGTTGCCTGGATTTCAACTAGCTCAACTTGAGACCTGCTGATTTCAACTACTTACCACTCTCCCAAGTCGCCAAGTCGCATGAAAAAACACCCTTTGATTTCGGGAAGTCTCAGATTCTTGTTGTTATCCAATGTCTAAATGGGGAGCTTTACACGGAATTATGCACCACTTGCTCACAAAAATTGCACTTCTTCGGGTTAGATCCTCATTTAAGTGTGGATTAGAATACATTGGAAGCCCAGTTTTGAGGCTGAAATCCCTGCTTATTTCCCCAGAGAAATGGTTTATCTTTATTTTTGACATTGATCTTTGGGGAATCTGCGAATCCTCGGCTGACAAACAGCAAACATCAAGATGTAACTCCTTCTTTTTCTGATGAACTCCGATGTTTCATAGTACGGTGCATCCAACATTTCTTGTTGGTTGACTTTGCATGTCGATGAAATCACATGAAATCCGTTTTTCATTGTTGGTGTCCACTCCACATTGCATGTTTCTGAAATCTCCATATGTCTAATGTTGAAACATCCGGACATGGCGCCATGTCTAAGTAGTGATTAAGGGTGTACCAATAGAAATGGTTTATAGTTGGTTTATAGTTGGTTTATAGTGCCAATGGTTTATAGTGATTAGGGTGTACCAATAGTGCCTAGTTGGTTTATAGTTGGTTTATGTCGCCATTTTCCTATAGAAATGGTTTGCCATTTGCAGAAAAAATCGACCACCAAGGACAGGTCTTCAAGACTCCGGAACCAACGGCACTGTGGCCGCGGCGAAGCCGGGTGACAAGCGGTACGCACCGGACCAGGCCCGAAGAGCTTGTTTTGTACAGCGGTACGAAAATAAACATAATTCATGGACACAGATGTATATGGTTATATCCCTCTCTCCATATGTTGATCATTTTAATATATATATATATACTTACGCATATGTATTTCCAGATTACATATAAATCTGTACTATGACCGTATCTATATGTTGATTCATGATGAGTGGTGAATAATTAATTATAATGGGTAGTGGTAGGGTCTTTTGAGATACATTTGCCCATCAGTGACTTACGTAAAGATCCGAAGACCAGCCGATTGATTCTCGTCTTGCTCGATGCAGTTTTTGGAGGCGTTCAATTTTGGGGGTCAATCCTATCTATTTCAGGACACCCTGGATGACATCCCATGGATTGTGTCTTCCACTTTGTATATTGGAAGGAAAAGGCATGATGGGAAACCAGCAATCCCTTAGTAGAAATGGAAACTTTGACAGGTACAGAGCATAAAATACTACAGTTTTTGTGTTTGTTTCCTTTGCTTTCTATTGTAACACGTTTGTTGCACTGACGTTTTGTTTCCGTGATCCTAGGTCCTAAGCAATGTGTGAGTTGAAGCAAAACGTGACTGTTGTCATCTCCAAAGAGATTCAGAAAAGTCATGAAGGGTCAACTACCACGAACGTAGTAGGGAAATCATTTACTCTTCATTGAGAATGGGATGTTCAGAGCCCGAAGAAGGAATCCCGTTCCGAGGGTGATAGCCCCAAGCTGGCCAGAAACCATTTTTTTCTTAAGACGTGGGTTTCACCATGTTCCACCGAAAATGGGACCCCCAAACTGGCCAAAAAAAGATAGGAACATGATTTTCGAGAGAGCCTACTGCAAAGTTTTGTGGTACCCTATGACAAACACACCATCTGGTTGGTGGTTTGAAACATTTTTTATTTCCCCCAATAGTTGGGATGATGATCCAATCTGACTAATATTGTTCCAGGGGGTTGAAACCACCAACCAGTATATATATGTATATATGACAAACACGCCATGGTTTTCACCAATGGATTGGTTTAAGGGAAAATCTACAGGAAACCATGGATTTTCCCAGTAAATATTTGTTTTTCCTGTAAAATTTCCCTTAAACCAATCCATGGTTTTCAGTCTCCGAGATGTTCAGTCGTGTGACACCCTCGACTGATCAGCGATCGTGTCAACTTATGGCCACCGCTTTGTGTGTCAAGAAATAACCCACGGTGCACGTATACCCGGTACGGTGAACGAACGTAAAAACATAGCGAACTGGAAAATCCACCACGTTTTTCATATGGGTAAATAAACATAAATCAACTATCGATGACCATGTTCAATAGCTATTTTGACATAACCAGAGGCTATATCTGGACATGGCCCCTACGAGCCATGAATGTGTTTGGGGTTATAAGCCACTACGACAATCCGGCATGTCGCCATGTCACCATGTTTTGATCATCCCCAACTTCCCTAATGAAATCTGCGGAATCGATATAAGCGTTTTGGGACTTTAAACACAGCCAACATATATATATAATATTATACATACATGCATATAGGTACTAGTACATGTTTACGTTTATGTGTGTGTGTTTTGATATTACCAATCCCAAATATTTCTCTATACATGAATAGCTCAAATATAAAGATGGATTACATAAATGCTTGGGTGATTTTCAACGTGACAGCAATCGCCTGAGCTGAGATCCACAGGTAGCACAGCTGTTGGTGCCACTGGTCCCAATGTTCGATGCTGCGCCATCTGCGCAGTCCTGGGTGCTGGTTGAGTCTCTTCAGTTGCTAGGCTCAGTATATGCAGGTTTGCATCCATCACCATACAGTTATGGCCATTTACCAGTTATAACTGGTTATAAATGGGATTATACATTCTATAAATGGGGTTATAAGTACTTATAACTGATAAATGGCCATCACCATATCATTATGAAATTCCCAATTCATTGGCCATGTACATGCAAATATGCTGCGTATGGCGTATGCCTCATTTTCTGATAAACTCATCTGGTTGGTGGTTTGGAGCATTTGGATTATTTTTTCCATATATTAGGAATAATAATCCCAACTGACTTTCATGTGTTTCAGAGGGGTAGGTCATCCACCAACCAGTCATTGTGAAATTCGTGGGTTCCAACGTCTTCCGACACCCCAGTATCGATTCCGTCCCAAGGTCCCCGAAAGCTGTCACTTGGAACGAACCGGTTAGGTCCAGAGTGGTTCCAATGGTCGGGATCAAGCCATTGAAGTGGTTAGGAGCCCAGTGGTTTCAAACATGCATTATCTACAGTTATGGCCATTTACCAGTTATAACTGGTTATAAATGGGATTATACATTCTATAAATGGGGTTATAAGGACTTATAACTGATAAATGGCCATAACTGTATCTATATGCTGGTTGGTGGTTTCAAACATTTGGATTATTTTCCATAATAATTATATGGGATGTCATCCGAAACCCATTGACGAACTCCATCATTTTTCAAGATGGTTATTGCACCACCAAGCAGTATCTATATGGATGAATTACCAATAGAGCCCGGGCAAGGTGGCCAAAGATTCCAAGAGGTGGGACGCCTAGAAAGAAAAGCGAGAGCCTATAGGAACGAATGCAGACCGGTTCCCGAAAGCATTGTTTGTTTCAATGTTTTTGACATCTCTTCCTCTTGGAAATTTATGTTTTCTTGACATTCCTGCTATGCTGCTATTTTCAGGCGGGTGAATTATTACAATTCAGCTAGATATGTACATAACTGATATACTGTAATAGGATTACCGTATGGCAATCAAACATGGTTTGCTGGACAATGTCCCATTTATGTCGATGATGTTCCCATTTGAACCCCCATTTAGTTCGGGGATTTCCCAACCATCCACTTGGTGGCTCATCCCAGTTAGTAAGTGGATGATAACCACAGTTATAAGTGAACTAACCCTACTTAGCCCAGTTATAACCAGGGGTATAACCTACTTACTAAGTGGGGTGAACCACCATCCATGTTTAATTGCCAATCCGGATGATGGGATATCAATCCTGTCATTGATGGATGTCAAGTGGCTATCTCAGCAACAGACTACCCTCTGGTAAACTAACATATTGCTATGGAAAATCACTATCTTTAATGGGAAAACTCACTATTTCAATGGCCATTTTCAATAGCTATGTTGAATTACCAGAGGGTATATGGGCTGGTGGTTCTACGCATTTTGTTTTGGACTCACCTTACTCGTACGATGCTTAAAAAACGATGGGATGGAATGGGGTACCGTACTTTCAAATAGACCAACTACGAAAACTGATGGAAGATCAATGAGAAATGTGCCTTGCTCCCCTGGTAAGCCCAAAAACAAGCCATAGCTACCTGGACAAGTTTTTGGTTATGACCTGAAAAGGTTGTTTTCTGCGAATCCAAGGGTTGTCTTCTCGTGCTTCAGCGAAAGAAACAACACAGTGGAACTACACCAAAACTTTCAATCCTCTCCGGTAAAGTATGAGTTGGCTTATAAACCCATCCAGTTGTGGTGATATATCCACCTTAGATCCTATAGTTATTGTGGTCGCAGCATAATCTATCGTACCAAGGTTGCCAAACTAGTGGTCTATGCCATGTGAAATGTGTATACAGTTATGGCCATTTATCAGTTATAAGTACTTATAACCCCATTTATAGAATGTATAATCCCATTTATAACCAGTTATAACTGGTAAATGGCCATAACTGTATCCACAGTTTCACTGTATCCTATCTCATGTACTTGGCTTTGAATCTTTGACCCATTTATGACTGGCATCTGGCCAAGAGTATTGTAAAGGCTGCCTTAGATCCGGATAGATCCGGGTGTGGCAATATGTCAATGGTCATTTCAGGAACCGATTGATTGGAGGTACCGATTCCATATATGTTTGGCCTATTGTTCAGGCCTAAATTTCAGGGAATATCCCCAGAAAATAAAGCCAAAAATATGGTACTCACGTACCTCCATCTGTTGGATCCTGAAGATCTCCCATTGAATATGTCAAGTTCCGATGGCAATGTCCAAAGTGATCATGTTTTTTTTATCGGAATGTCAAACAAGCAACCGTTGGATGACCATATTATACACACACACCAAAAAGTGGCATGTTTAGCTTTTGGGTGGTTTGGGTGTCTTCAACCTTTGAACCATCTCTATGTGTCTTTAATTTGTTGCACTCTGAATGGATGATTCCCGGGCAGTTTCATGGAACATTCCCTTCCGATAACATCGTCAAAGGGGACTGAAAACTCCATGAAGTTCACAATTTCATACCATCTACCCTCTGGTTATGACTAACATAGCCATGGTATAGATGACCCATAGAAATAGGTGGTTTACCTATTAATAGCATGGTGATTTTCCATGGCGAACTGTTAGTCATAACCAGATGGTATATATTTATACACATACAGCAATAAGGGATGAAGTGGTTCCAATTTCTTGGATGCTGGACTTTGTGCCATCGCGAAAGAACTGAGGCGAAAGAATATTGGATCATGACTGTTTGTTTGATTCTCCTGATGCTTGCAGAAAACGTTGGGATCTGACTGGGCACAGTCAGGGTTTTTCAATGTGCTGAAGATCTCAGGGAGGACCATATATATATATATATATACACCCTCTGGTAATTTAACATAGCTATTGAAGATTGCCATTTACAGTTGATTCACCCATCAAAAATGGTGATTTTCCATAGTTATGTTTGTTTACCAGAGTGTAGTTATACATAGATATTACAAACGGTGTCAGTTGTGTTGTCAATGTTGCTTAAGTCATCTCCAAAGGTCATGTGGTATGCAGCTGATATAGAACTGGATTGGATGTTGCACAAAGTTATTTATCCCCGCAACGATATTGGAACAATCGATATAGATAGACTTATTCCCACAAAAAAAAGATAGCACTTCCAGCTGGTATACCACTGATTCTTCAATAGAGTGCTATCTTAATGGAAAGCTTGGAAGAACCAGTCTTTTCAGGAGATGGTCAGAAAAAATTGTCCAAGCCCCAGGTGCTCAGGGCTTCATTGACCCGTTGAATGAATGGATTTTCAACGGGGAACTGCTACAGTAAACCGTCGATTTTCCCCATGAAATATCATAGGAGTTCCTATGGTTCCTCTAAAATATTCCCTTAAACCAATCCATTGACCCAGCTTGGCAGTGCCTTGCGACTGCTTAGGATATTGCTAGCCATCAGTCCTATTGCATCAAAGAAGGTCTTACAGTCTTGCTGCTCGTCATGCTCCTTGGCGTGCTCCGAAGTCATGGGGGTCTCTTTGAGTGACCGAAGGAAAGCTGTGATACGTGATCGAAGCCCATGACAAGAAAACTTGAGTTAATCACTTGAGCCACACTCCGTAGGTGTACATTCAAATTATCTGAATTCAAATCGGTCTTTCCTGCTTGTGGTTTATTTTTGTTTGTTTGAATGTGTAAACCACATCAGCCATGAAACTCTCTTGGCAGTGGGGGCAAGCATCCCTGTTGGAGTGGAGGAAAAAAGCAACACGACTTGGTGGTTCATCCCATTTGCTAAGTGACAATAATATATATATATATACATATATATATGTACATAGAACCCCATTGTAACTGTAACTGGAGACAAAATCCTGCTTGCTCTACTTGTAGGACGTCGGATTATAGCCCAGTACCTATTCAGCATCGCACCAGCCTTCATTCAACTCATCTCAATCCCTTCCCTTATCGAAAAAAACACCCAGAATTATATGAGTTCATGACCCACAGATATATCGAGTAGTATTACCCAAGTAGTGACGATATGTGACATGTGATGCGGCACTCAGACTTTTGACGTTTGTTCCCTGACGATTGGCTCCAAGTTGCCTAAGGTCCTACCTGACGAGTTTGGTCTCTGTGAAGGTCTTTGTAAAGGAAACCATCAACCAGGGCTTTCCCTATCCGGAGTCGATCACCGTTTCTAGGGCTGGAAACTTCACAGATGTTTCCCTTCCAAGAAAGGTTTTTCCCTGCTCAAGCTGGCAAATCCAGTTTCTTCGGATCCACTTCGCAGATTTTGCTTTAATGCACTGCTTAGTTAAGTTGAAAACCGTCATGTTAAAGAGTGCAACTAGCGAATCCGATTGATATTCCATACGACTGACTGTAATCCCAACCAAAGTTGTTTGGACCCCCACGCTTTGTTGAATAGTGTTTCCCGCCAAGCTCATTTGCGTGGGATTGCCGGGCACTGCTGATATCCCGTCTCTGAAATAATTTGAAGCCACAATGTCCACATCATATGGTCCCCAGTTCGAAGCTTTGTCTTTGTAAGTCAATCATCACATATCATTACCATGTTGATTATGTTGATTCATTTTGTTATATAATTGTCTTACAGGAATCACCCCCTTTTGTACATTTGCTGCCATCAGTTTTCCTTCCTTTTGTGAGCTTGCCAAAACTGAAATTCCGAGCAGTGGATGCGCTCTGGTTCCCCTAAGGCTGTGTCTAAAAACGGGCGACCTTAAAAATCCGAAGGCCTTCACAATCCAATAGAATCCAGGAACCATTGTAGTAGTGATTGTCAGAGTATGGCGATATTTCAACTTTTGATTTGATTGGTTGATTGATAGTATGCTAGGACGATTGTGGATCCACAGGTTTCGAACATATTGAAGCCATGAAAAACGGGGTGGTTCCTGGACTCCTGGATCCACAGTCAGTCAACCTAACCACCCCCTTTTTTTACATGGCAGTGATGGGATCAAATCATACCCCAAATGGATTCAAATGATCAACCATTGGATTCCCCATTGGTTCCATGTATGCTATATACTGCATGGCAACATTTACCATCAATATACCCCCAATGTTAGCATATATACCATACATGGATTTTATGGGTTGGATTCTGTTGGGTTTTTGCAAGTTTTTTTTGTTAAAAACTGTGTGTTCCAGATTAGTGGGAACTGGCAGTCGGAGTCGGCTCTTGCGAAAAGGCTATGCATATGTTGGGGGTTTGCTTGGTCACTGGATCGTTGCAGCGGCCCCACATCAAGGAAGCCCTGGCCGATCCTCGGCTCTTCATTTGCTGCAAGACACGAAGAATAAACGATTGGTACAACGTGGTGCCCAGGAATATAGCTAAGGTTTAGGGAAATCATAGCTATAGTATGCTGTAGTTAATTAAGTTTCTGGTAATTTATCGTTGCGAACTGGAGAATCACCATGTTTTAGATAAATCATCATAAATCATCTATTTCTATAGGCCATTTTCCATATCTACGTTAAATAGGACTTACCTAATGCACAGATTGAAATAGTGATTCCAAGGCAAAAATCATAGGGCAGAACCTAAATTATCAGCGAATAAGCAAACAGTAAGCCATGTTCTGGGAGAATTTATTAGCAATCAATCGGATATGGGAAAGCAATTAAATTGGAGCATAAAACCAAGAATGATATTGATTATATAATGCTGCATGTATTTAAGGACGTCATAAAGTATAGCAATGGTAGGGGCTAGCATGACCCTTAACATTATAAGTATGATTACTGCCATAATAACTGTACAATAGGAATAAATTGTATCTATAAACTGTAAACTATTCTGTGTTGTGTTGAATATATATATATACATGTATACATACACTTATTTATTCATTTTACAGCGGCGAACGTAAAGGAATATATTCCGAGTTGTGGCCGAACTTTTCAGTTTGGAGAAATATGTTGGATTCTAATTTCACCAAACTGGATAGAGGCCTTGGGCGACTGTAGATCGTGTTTTTCCTTTTTACCATATCCAATGAGAAGAGGGTAAAGGCAGCCGAAGAAAGGGATGGGAGCTGGGCAACCAACTTTGGATGAAAGCAGGCTTTAAGTATCTTTAAGTAATAGAAATCACTCCCTGAAAGCCAACTTGCAAGCCATGGCCAGTTTTTGGTTCGCCCTGGTGACCTTGCAACGATGAGAAGTTTTTCAGGGGTGATCTCCTGGCACCAGCAGGGAAGAAGTGGCCAAACAGGGGCTGAAATGCTAAGAGTGCATTGACAATATGGGGATGGGTCAAAACCCTGGTACCTAGTGAACCCCAAAATAGCTGGTAAATGGATGTTCATCCCACTAAAAATGTATCTATAGGTATTGACCCATACCCATATGACCAACAGGTCATGTGACATTGGAAGTCGATCTCACAAACTGTTCAGACAATAGGGCCGTGAATCTGGCCTTCAAATCATTGATGCTGGGTATGGTTCTAAATGGGGTACCGCAGAATTGGATCATGTCTCTTATCATGTCCCTATTATCCCGGCAATTTAGTAGGCAATTTTTGGAGAATCCCCTGTTTTGAGACGAACTTCTAGATATGAGGAAGCATGATACTTCATGATCCAAATTGTGGAACCGATTTGTTGGATTGTAGACTGCTCGGTCAAGCAGACATATGATTAAGAAGTCAGAATAGTATATTCCCACTCTCTTCTTTGGGATGAAAAGAACCTAGAAGATAGTACATGTGATAGGCGAGTAACATGTGCATTGTAGCTACACAGGGACAATTTCCAACTATTGAACGGAGCAGGGTGCCATACCAAATCTTGGCCCTGAAGTTACAAGTTGCTTCATTTTCACCCAACAGAAAACAAATTTCAATTGCATTCACTCGCCATGACTTTCATGGCTAAATTCCCATGTCTAATGGTTCAAACCTTTTATTCTTGGTTCAATCAGTTCTATCCCCATGGTTAATGGTCAAAACATGTCAGAACTTGCTTGAATCCCCAGTGTTTCTTGGTTGAGGCCCCAGTCGCCAGTAGTTATCGGGCAGGTGCTGCCTATATCTTTACTCCACGGCGCCTCCTTGATGACCAACAACACCGCCCTGCTGTATGGGGGAGTGGCCTTTGTCTCCATGATGCTTGGTATATGAACCGCCATCACCACCATGGTGGAGTGACTACCTAGTATAAATGAAACAGAGATTTCTCATTTTTTATGTGATATATTTTATTAGTACATGATATTATGAGTACTGAGGCCTTCAAAGGACAAGTTAAAGTTCGACAACATCGACATCGTAAACATTTGTATACATATATGTATGTATATATGTATACATATATTATATATGTGTGTATATATATATACACATGTGACTATCATGTTCTATGCATGTGTGTATTATATATATACATGTACATCTATATACACATGTAATGTCAGTGTGTGTGTATGTGTAAAATAATGTTGCATGCATCTAGGACTCTACATATAGAGGGATAGGTAGCTAGGTAGATAGCAGGTAGATAGGTGGATAGGAGATAAATAGGTAGGTAGGTAGGTAGATAGGAAGATACGTAGATTGGTAGATAAAGTAGATAGATTAAATGCATTAGATAGATTAGTCAATTACATTGACTAGATAGATTAAATAGAATGAATTACATTACTTAGATAGATTATATTTGTTTGATCGATTCGGTAGCTCAGCCAGTTGCTGAATCAGTTTGTTAATTTGTTTCTTAGTTTGTAAGTAAGTACGTTAGCTAGTTAATTAGTCAGTTAGTCCGTCATAGACACAGATAGATCGATAGATAGATAGATAGGTAGGTAGGTAGGTAGGTAGCTAGATAGACAGACAGACAGACAGATAGATAGCTAGGTAGGTAGATAGATAGATAGGTAAATAGATAGGTAAATAGATAGATAGATTTCTTGGGTCGCCTTGCATTTGCTTGCTCTCACCACCTCTGCAATTGTACAGAAACGGATCATGTATCATTTTACAAGCTATTCCCCAGCAACCCCAAAAACGCCGTACCCAAACTCTCCCTAGCGACATCTAGCGACTATAATTCCATGGTGAACGATGTTGTGTGAGGATTTCAGCGAATATTCCTTTCATCATATTCCTCCTGGAAGTTGGCAAAAAGAAGCGCACCATGGACTGTGCTTCGGTCGCCGCAGCGCCCTGTCTGCTGGGGGATGGGGGGCATGACCAGGGCATGGCTGAACGTGACTAGATGAATTAGTTTGAGCTTAGTCTAGCAGAGATCATTCAAGCGACATCAGTCGTACCTGTGGATTGGTACCCCATTGATATTTTTTGAGCCATTCCCAGCCGCATGTCTGCACTCAAAAGTGCAGCTCTATGGCATCGAAAGAGTTTCCGAAGCCGCAGATTACCCCGTGACTTGACTATCTTGACCCAGAAGCACTTGGGGTTGCATCAAACCAAAGCAAATCCACAAGTTGTGGTAGGTGTGTCAAGAATTCTGACCCCATTCCCCCATGACCGCGCTGAACATACCGAGGTCCTGTTGGTATGCTGCGGAAGTATCTTCTGTGTTTATGGTGTAGCTAGGCTGCGTGAACGACATGAATTTGTGACAGTTAGGAAATTAGGTGCGATTTGCTTCTTCAATAATGAGGCTCAACAATAAGATGATATCCTTATTCTGATTTGACGGCCACGGTTGAAAACCCTTCATCATTGTTGTTTATGTATGGGTTTTCACTTGACTTCTCTTTGGTTCGCTCATTTCCCTTTGCTTCGTTCGGAGTTTGTTTTGGGTATGTGCTCAAATACATCAAACCTTTAACGGGCATTTGAAATTGAACTCTGAGTTTTGCATAGTTTTTCCCTTTTACCGTTTTTTCCACGCGTACATAGAAGGCCAAGATATGCAAAACCCATGTAACCGATTGTATTGTTTATCCACAGTGTAGGACCAACTGGTATAGTGAGATGTACTGCAGTGTCCGAGATTGACAAAGTACCCCTGTACGCATGCCCATGAAAATTGCTGGGTCAATTTGTGAATGGTATGTACACATATATGTCTATACCTCTTGTTGCTCAATGATAGTCATTATGTTTTTTACCACTCGGGATACATCATGTGTATATGATATGTCCACGCATATTAAACACATATCAACCAACCATAAATGAATGCACATGTCAACATCAACATGTGCGAGACAGGACCAAACACACCAATTGCATACCAATATCAACAAAACCCAATTATAGTCACTAGATCTCCATGTTCCCAATTTTCTGGTTGTTTCTGAACCACTTGAATAGTTGATCTAAGTCACAAAATGTCATAAGTAGCATATAGCGATCATAATTATCATATCAAGAATCCTATCATCATCAGATATTTCCCATATATGCTCCCATCCATTTTTCCTCGATCAATTCCCCATTTCTTGGTGCAGGAGCCCGCCGCCTCGGTCTCTGCCTTTCTGCTGGCCTCGGCCTCCGCCCTTCTGGGCGCCATGCGGGCGGTGTGGCAGCACGAAGTCGTGCCTCGGCCATGGCAACGGTGGCGGCTTCACACCTGTGGTGTGAACAGCAAAAACGGATCCATCATCCCTAAATTCACCATTTTGATGGATGGTATAAACATGTAAACCTAATTCCATAGTGGTTTGTGACATAAATCCATAGTCAAAGTGAGTGAAAAACAGCAGCGGAATCATGTTTTTTAACCGTGAGATCATATTGAATGAATATGAATGAAAATGAATGAATGTATTGGACGAAATTTGGTACGTGATACCAGGTGCCAGGATTAATGGTATATTTAATCAATGAATGGTTCAACATGAATCAATAACTGATCCACTATGGCATAAAACCTACAATTCTTGTTGGTTGATAGCCACCCCTTTCGGATGAGATCATTGGGGACTGTTTATGGCATCGGGTTTACTGCATTTGCTGCTTTTCTTTCATCATAATTGATGATGTGACTCGTAAAAGACTAGACCCAAATTTGTAGACTATAGTTAACATAATCATGAACTGGTAATAATTGGTTAATTGAGTAGTAATCATCACAGTGGAGAATAGTCATCACAATGAACAAGAATCACATGACACACATATTCAGTGCTGTTTGTTTTTGCATTTGCTTTGGATTTGAAAATGTTGATTGAAATTAGTTGTGGGGTGACACGGGGGGAATTTAGGTGTTCGATGATGCCTTTTTCTAGTGGTGAAAAGGGTTAAAGTGCGGTTTTACTGGTCATATTCAATATGTTTAGTTTGTTGTTAGGGGTTGAAATGTTGTTCTTTGATCTATGTTCCTAAATAGAGGAACACAAAAAGTCAATCAAAGATTAAATATAATGTCTCCTTTCCAGCTCACTTTTTGTTTAAAGAACAACAACAGTTGTGAGGGTTGTGGTTGTTGTTGTTGTTGTAGATGATAGGCTGGCAACTCTGGATTAGTTTGTTGATTTTTTCCGTCGTTTATGAAACAACCTTTGGTCATGGCACCGGCGTTGCCGCGCCGGTGACTGCAGGTGGTGATTAGCTTGAGCCCGCTGAATATGGTATTTTGGAATGGTTCCTGGGTATCAGTAGTTGGTATTGGGAGATATTGGGAGCGGTGAGCTGGAATACGGCTGTCTTCATATTTCCTTTTTGTTAAGGGGAGCTAGTTGGAGCTACTAAGTTTTGACATGATGTACACCAATTACTTGACATGTTCTGTGGGATCAGAGGATGGATGGGTCCAAGTGGGATGCGGATGGGAGGGTGAGCCCTTTGGACCAACCACCTGAAGAATTGTGGCCTATTCAAGATGGATCCACACCCATCATCATCATCATCATCATCACCATCATCATCATCACCATCATCATCATCACCACCATCATCATCATCACCATCATCATCATCACCATCATCATCATCATCACCATCATCATCATCATCACCATCATCATCATCATCATTTTTTTGATTTGCTGCTGCATTTCCAACTGAATGGAAAACGGTCTAATTCCCCAACCTTCAGATCTGCTGTTTGCGCCATCCCGTTGAGCCGCTTTAGATCGCCATAGCTTGCCGTCGAGGTTTCTGGTCCTTCTGCATCTCTGTGCTACTGATAGCTTCCAACGAACGCACCAAGGTGCTGGGGGGATGAGATTTCAGGAGTTCTGAAGGTCTTCCTCCTATGATCTTTTGAAACTTTGAAGCCACCCTATGAGAGATAGATAAGCGCCGAACATTTGCCCAATCATAGTTTGAAAAGCCTTATTTTGTTGGATTGCACCTAAAAAAACACAGATATTTCATGATATTTCCCCAAAATCCAGGGGCTTCCCAAGTCTTACTGGTGCTTAGCCGGGAATTTTCGGGAATGATCCACAATAACTATCAATAATCATCCCAACAACCCTCAGCATCCCATCCATTCCCTACGTAAAACGCACCAGTAAGTAATTCATCGCAAAAAATATCCACTATCCCTACTATTCCTGGTATTTTCCATAGCTTTCCCCAAAAACACAGATATTTCCCCAAAATCCAGGGGCTTCCCAAGTCACCATAGCTTTCAATACACCAAGTCATGGTCATCCACGACTGGATCATTTGAAGCCAGGCCTTCAGGAGTCTCCCCGGCGCCAGCTCGGATGCCAAATGGGCACTCCTGGCCTCCGCGGACTCTTGGCGTTGCCAGTGAGTCGATCCACCGTGGCAAAAAAGATCACACAAATCTGAAGACATCAAAGATGATTTTTTTTCGAACAGGATGGATATATATATATATAATATATATTATATTATATGTATGTATGTAATGTAATGTAATGTAATGTGATGTGATGTGATGTGATGTGATGTGATGTGATGTGATGTGATGTAATGTAATGTATGTATGTATGTATGTATGTATGTATGTTTATATATGTTATATACATATATATATATATTATACAGAATAATCTACTCCATTGATTTCCATTGAACATGGGGATTTTGAAACAAACACAGGACCAAAATAAGGGTTTCGACCCATCAAACATGCAAAACAACCCCAAAAAAGTTCCGGACTCTGGCTCCATTTGCATGGGTGATGTATCACAATTGGATGGGAAAAGGAGATGGACTTGATTGTTTTTGGTACAAATTTCCATGTTTGGGGTAGAGTAGCAAAGTTTGTTTGAACCATATCCATAATGTATAGTTTGGTCCAATCAAGACAAACAACAAGTTCTAGAGTCTATTTATAGAGAGATGTGGAGGTACAAAATTGGAGATTTCATATATGACGGGTTGCACGAAAAAAACGCAGGTAGAAAGAACAAACTGGCATTGCAACTGGCAACTTGTGCAGATGAGGAGAGAAGGCAATATGGGACTAGCCAACAGTAGCTAATCTGACAAGTAACGTAGTCGGGCACGTAATAAAGAATCAAAAAATGAAGTGCAACCAACAGTCTCGGTCACTTAAGAACAAGGTCATTCTGAATAGACAACGGGCAAAGAGCCCACAAATGACCACCACTGTACTTGAGGATTTACACCACATACAAAATGCCTCAGCCCTGGTTCTAAGTTGGTATCTATAAACCAATGCTAAGTCAACTGTAGAGGTAGTAGTAGATATCCACCAAAACTCCTTCGGTAATTAGTTGTTGGAGTATAAACCAACAAAAAACATCTTTGGGGAACACGGAATATGCCACCACTGTTTTTCTTCATATGCTTGACCTGAGGTATAACTTAGTAGTGCGATGATGAGATTTGATATCCGAAGTTGTTTCAGTTGAACCTCCAGCACATTCCAACATGGCTTTAGCCATTTGCAGAGGGTGAGATTTGAGACTTTTAAAATAGATCATGAATCATATAAAACTGAAGATTGATGTCCATACCATCAGTCTTGAAGATGAAAATATAGTATAGAATCAGAGTATAGAATAGCATAGATAAACGAAAGTTGGGCCATCTCAAAGCTTCCCGACTGCACCTACCTTTCCCCTTACCACGGCCTGACCAACCACGGCCGTTTCTCCCAGCACAGAGATTGAGGTGACGGCAGTGGTATTGAACATCACTCAGTGGTATGCTGTGCAAAAGCCACTTGGCCCGCGATCCCAATGGGCAATGCTTGGATGGTGAAATTCCATACATTCCATTGGGAGACAATGGAAGTTGTGGAGTTTTGATGTATACATATATTATATATATACATACACGTACATACATAGTGGCATTCCAATATATTGATGTGTATTGGGGATCCATTGCTCATCTCCGTTTCGGATGCTGTTTTTTTCAATGGCCAATACCACTGCGGATGTGGGGGAAAGCCTATGGTATTCTATCAATTTCTGAATGATATACCCAACTTCATACTTGCCCTACGCGTGGCTTAACCAGTTGCCCTTTGGTTAGAAGAAAATCCAGCAAACTGAAAAATCCAACATTTTCTCATCATGTATCGATGACTTTCCCTTGAAAACTTCAATTTCGTTCGTGGATGTCGCCATATTTGACACCATCTCTCCCTGCGTGTCAAGGTTGGGCGCATTGATGCAGAGCATGATCGGCAACCTCAATCTTATTCTGGTTATGGTTCCCTGTCAAATGTCTAGTTGTTGTCAAGGAGTTTACAATCATGGAGATGTTCATGATATATTGTTTGGACTTTTTTTTGGAATGTCAATTTTGTAATAATATATAACAAATTGTAATGATGGTAAAAGAGGTAAACGTTAGTGTTCTTGGAATCGCAGGCAGCGGAAGGCAAATTGCGAGGGGTAAAGGGGCGGCAAACATGGCCCGTGGCTGCTTCAGATTCGTTGCCAACAGGTATCTCAACATGCATCAGAACCTACCATATGGAGGTTTCCTAAAATAGGAGTACTCCAAATAAACCCATCCTATTTTAAGAGGAATTTCAATTATGAAGCATCCAGCTCTTCTGGGGTAGCCACATGACTATGGAAACCACCATGCCGCAGGACTGATGGGATCGCAGGGATGATCATGACATGTTTGGGTTGAAAATTAAAGCATATCAAGATGGATTTTGAGTTGTATATCTATTCATATGCATATATATACATATATTTATACACGTGTGTGTATATATATTTTTTAAATGTATATACAAACATTTCATTATTGTGCATATATAATATAACACAATGTACGTATGTATATTATATATATACCTTGAATTACACCTATGATGGTAGCCCAGCTGAGGCTCTTTCAGGCGCTTATTTGCAAGAGCATGTGACCTTTGCACAGCCGCCTGGGAGAAAGGTCTCGGTGCCGGTGGAACCACTGATTCGAATGCTGTTGGGGTCATCCAGCTCGAGTTTTTTGGGGGTTGAACACTTGCTGGTTGGTGGTTTGGAACATTTGGCTTATTTTTCCATATATTGGGAATGTCATCATCCAACTGACTTTTCAGAGGGGTGGCTCAACCACCAACCAGTCACTTTTGGGATGTAGATTAGAATTGCAGCCAGAATACGGAGATATCCTGAAATGGTGGCCATGTCGAATATCTTCAAAATCCGGGATCAGCCTCGATATCCGAAGCCTCGAAGCCGTGCAGGGCACGGGTCAGCATTCCAGAAGTGGTCCAGTCGTGAAATCTGCCTGAAATATCTATTGGCATTGGAATATGTGATGGTAGGTGTGACGTGCATGTAGATATTGCTTCAGATATGGATATTAGTTATGGATAGTTATGGATACAACTGAGTATACATGTCTTCAATCATTGTTTGTGTGTACTCCCAATGTTGGAAGATATTCTCTACCCATGTTTGATTTGTGTTGCCTCATCTGGTTGGTGATGATGTTGGAACCATATAAGAAGGATATGTTTTAGGAATTTACAATCAGCAGTAACAATATTATTAGTATTGCTAGGGGACAACAATACCATTGGTTGTAAGATTAGGATTATATCATTGGGATAGCTTTGACAATCGGGATCCAGAAACTTTTCTAGGAGAGTTGTGTATCGAGTTGTCGCTAGGCCACTAGGCGACGACACTGGAAATGATGCTTTGCAAGGGTAAATATGCCAACATAGCCCCTTTTCACCAATTTTTTCGTAGACAATTAATTGCACTGGGTCATCTATGAGATCCTAACTAGTATAACTCGGGTCTGTGGCAATTATAACTGTATTTAATTGGGTTTGTATGTTAACAAACATTTCATTGCGGGGCCCTTTATATATATATATATATTAATTATATATAATCCATGATCAAGCATATGTCCAGAAATATATCAATCGGTTTGAATCTTAACGTAGCAACACCCCTTTATTTGTTTCCCTGCTTTCTATCTTTTAGTCCTTCCGAAGATTTTCGCGGCCGAGGTATGTGGGTGTGTTGCTGCTGTCTTTGGGCACCTTCTGGAACAAGGCTCGGGAGATCATGAGACTTCGGATGAAGCAACGCCAGGTTGATTTTTGTGGATCGATTGTTTTATGGAACTTTAACGGGATTTAAGGGGATTTAAGGGGAATTGATGGGATTTAATGGGATGAATTGGACAATACTTACTAGCTAATAACCAACAATATTGGAAATATAATGTAAATATATTGGGTGCATATTGGGGATATGATGGGGATATGAAAAAAACAACAATATGGGATACACTCTGGTAATCAACCATGTCTGGCTGGAAAATCCACGATTTATATAGTTCGATGTTCACATGTCCAGTTTTAGGGGATGTCCATTGCCATGGTTGATTCCATAAAACCCCCCAAAACAGTGATTGCGAATATTATAAATATTGAATATTGGTACTGTGAATTTGTCGCTGACAACTTACTTGGAAGCCCTGGCCAGGTCACAACTCCATGCTGCTCACCGCCGCTGTTGGATCAACTTGGCCAAAGGGCCCTTGAGCTTGAGCTTACGCTTGCCCCTGATGAAAACCTTTGTGGGACTTTGGGTGCCTGCACGTGTTTTCCCCGAAAGGACATCCAACTTAGAGTGTGGTTTGTCTGTTGGTTTGGTTGTTTCAACTGAACTCTTCATATTGGTAGGCGGAGCTTAAGTGCTCCGGGGATCTTAAGTGATCCAAACCGTTGCTGAAAGCCATGGCCACTGGAACTAGTGACAATGCCGAGACCCTCACGAAGGACACCTTCATACCACGGTTTGACAATACAACTGCTGGTTACAAAGAATGGCGAAAGCGGATACAGCTATATGCAAGACGCATGGCCATTCAAAAACGAGAGTCTGAAGTAGGGATTTCAGTTTTGCCCACTTTAACTGGTGCCTCCTGGCGTCAATGCGAAGACCTCGAAGTCAAGGATTTAGAAACGGCCGATGGACTGGGAAGAATTCTGGACAGGTTAGACGCGCAGTGGCAGTACGATGCAAAGATCGAAATGCCAGAAGCCTTCGAAAAGTATTTCTACAAGACCTACCGCACCATGAATCAGACAATGTTGGACTACTGCACACAATCTGGACAAGCCTTGCGAGAGTTGTCAAAATACAAGGTGACACTCCCAGATGAAGTTGCTGGATGGTTGCTGATGCGCAGAGCTGGTCTGACAAAGGAGCAAACACAGCTGATTCAAACAACAGTAGGAACAGAAACAACAGTTGAGAAGGTTGAGAAAGCGCTCTACCTCACCCTTGGCCAGAATCACAAAGTGCCCTCCCCTGCAAAGTTCAACAACATGCGTGGTCGATGGAAAACTGACCGTGCCCACTTTGCCGAGGACGAGGTGTACTATGAAGATGATGGAGAATACCCTGATGACACTGCCTATGATGATGATGGCAACCCAATTGACTATGATGGAGACGAACTCTACTGGCAAGAAGAGGAATGGGATGATGTGCAATCCACTTACTATGGCTCAACAGCTGAAGACATGCCTGCAAATGACGAAGTTTTTGATACCGAAGAGTTTGACCGAGTCTATGCTGCATATGCTGACAGCAAACGTCAGCTGAATCAACTCCGAGTTTCTCGTGGATTTTTCCCTGTGGTTGCAATCGCTGGTGGTCAACAACTTCCACTTGCTGCTTCCTCCTCAGCCTCCGGAAGTCAATCGCCTTCCAGGACTGGTTCAAAAGGGAAGTCAAAGGGTAAGTCAAAAGGCAAAAAGGGATCAAAAGGTTCAAAGGGATTAGGTTCCCCCAAAAAGGGTATGTCAAGTATCAAAGATAGGGGTGAACATATGTCTTCAATGATGTGCTTGCGATGTGGAATGTTCGGTCACATGGCCGCCAATTGCCCCACCAAGAGCTCCAGCACTTCACCGAGCAAGAAGCGTCCCGCCGACTCCAGTGCAAATTTCGTTGGAATGGCTCAGCATGTGATTTCTGACAGCAATAGTTGGGTTACCGTAGAACCTGATGCTTGCATACAGGATGGTGGTGCTTCAACATTTTTAGCTGGTTCTGAATACGTGCTGAGGTATCTGAAATGGCTGGAACTGATTGGAATGGATGTGAAACACTTGCACTTCAAACGTTGCGACAAAAGCTTCAAGTTTGGAGGTGATGGTGAAAGTGTCAGCCGTTGGATGGTGCAATTGCCTGCAAAGCTAGGTGACAAGGTTGGTCGCATTCAATGTTTTGTGATCTTCGGTGCCACTCCTATGCTGCTAGGTCGCCCAATTCTGGAAATGCTGAATGCTGTGGTTGATTTTGGTGGCAAAAGGATGAGCTTACTGGGTGGTGACTGGCAAGAAATCCGCCGCGGAAAAGGTGGTGCAATGCTTTTGAAACTGGCTGATGGAGTCAAACATGGCTCAGAACTCACGGATGTTCAGTTCGACCTCATCAGTGAAGATGATGATCACGATCAGGTTGAAACTATGGCTAGCTTTCTGAAAGACATGCATGCTGAAAGTCGCTATGCCCAAATGACCGAAGTGGTGCAGAACTTCATGCAAACCAATGCCAAAGAACCCAACATGAGCGATGAAATCCTCCAAGCCGATGATGATGCTTTCCCAGAAGCAATTTCCTTGCCTGAATGCACGGTGAAGAAACTTGAGAACATGTGCAATCAACAAGCCGCTGAAGTGCACAACCAAGTCTCAGGTATGATTCACATGGCCAGAGATGGATCTCGAGCCAAAATACCTGTTGTTTGGGAAGTCTACGTTGGAGCAGGTCGCCTCTCGACCGAAGTCTCAAAGCTTGGTGCCCATGTTGAACGTTTTGGTTTGAATGAAGGCTGGGACTTTACACTCAGCACACACCGCAGAGCATTTCTCCACAAGATCGACACCGATGAGCCTGATGAAATTTTCATGTCCCCAAAGTGCACGTTGTGGTCGCCAATGCAAAACATCAACGTCAAATGTGCCGCTGATGCCGCTGACTTGGAAGAACGACGCGAGATTGACCATGGAACCCACTTGTCCATGTGTCACAAGGCCTACTGGAAACAGGTACGAGCAGGTCGACACGCTCACATTGAGCATCCTGAGAGAAGCCGTGCCTGGAAGACCAAAGCCTTCTCCACTCTTCCTGGCTATGCTGCCTTGTTTGATCAGTGCGAGTATGGTGCCACAACAATCAATGATGATGGATTTCAGGAGCCAATCAAGAAATCCACACGTATCCAAACAACCAAGATGTCCATGTACAAGCTCATGAATCGCCGATGTCAAGGTGATCACACCCACTGCCCCTTAGAAGGTTCCATGCCTGGTGGTGGTCAACGATGCCGAGAAGCTGAAAACTATGGCGTTGTTTTGGCAAAACATCTGGCAAAAGCCATCATGGATGACGAGGATCTCACTCAACAGATCTATGCAGTTGATGATGCTGAAACTGGCACTTTGCGACAATTGGCTACGGCGCATGGATCTCATGCAGCTCGAGTTGCCCACCGTCTTCACAGAAACTTGGGCCATCCTCGAAAAGAAGTGCTGCTGAAGCTGCTTGAAGGCAAGCAAGTGAGTGAGAAGGTCAGAGAGGCAATCCAATCTCTGCACTGCCCCCATTGCCAAAACTACGGCATCAAGAAGGGTGTGTCCCCTGCCTCAGTTGAACGTGCTGAGAACTTCAACCAAGTGGTTCAAGCTGATGTAATGTGGATTGAACTTGACAAGAAGAAACGTGTGGCAATTCTTTCTATGGTTGATGAATGCACTCGATACATGGCTGCCCGCATTGTGTCCGATGAAAAGTCCCCCTCACTGATCAAAGCGTTGGAACGTTCCTGGATTAGGTTCCATGGTCCGATGCAACAACTCAAAGTTGATGAATATGCTGGATGGGGATCCGATGCATTTGCAACCTGGGCAGAGAACCATGACATTGAGCTCAAGATTTCTCCTGGACAAGTTCATACAAGAACGAGCGTTGTTGAAAGACGACATCAACTGCTACGGCGTGCTGTTCAAATCTACATGGATGACAATGAGATCGCTGGAGTGGATGCCCTGCATGAAGCTCTCAACTGGGTTGTGCCTTCCCTCAACGAGCACACCTTTGTGAACGGCTTTACACCCACACAACTTGCAATGGGTCGACAGCCTGCTGTTCCTGGACTGATGTCTGAAGAGCGCAAGAAGCCTCCACAGCTGTCTGAAGGTCAACACCTTCAGGAGATCCTTAAGTGCCGATCTCAAGCCCAACAAGCATGTGCCAAAGCCGATGTTGATGTCCGATTGCGAAGAGCCTTGCTGCGTCAGTATCGTGGCCAAGATGAAGAACTGGTCGCTGGCGAAAGATGCCTCTACTGGCGTGAGTCAACGGATCGCTTCCACACCATCAAGTGGAAAGGTCCTGCCGTTGTGGTCGCAGTTCAACTTGACCCCGACACTGGCAATGTTGACACATACTGGCTTGCTCATGGAACAGTGCTGATTCGGGCTGGAAAACACCATGTGAAACGTTTGGTTGATGCTGAAGGTCGAATGTCTTCTCCTGTGGATGCCATGCGCCAAGTACGACAGCGACGAGTTGTCCGCCTGATTGACCTTCACAAAACTAACAAGAGGTCAATTGATGAGTTGGATGAAGATGATGCTGACTTTGACTTGGACGACAACCGCAAACAGCGCAAACATGGCACTCCTCCACATCAACTTCAACTGCATGACCCAGCTCCACCAGAATCTCCTGGACCGATTGCTGATGATGCTGCAACGGAACATGATGTTGAGATCTTGGATAGCCCAGCTGATGCTGATGAGTTCCATGATGCAATCGAGCAAATGGATCGCCAAATCGATCAACTTGAACAACCTCCTGTCTCTCCATTTTCCTATGCTCCAACAACTCCTGCCGAGACAGTGATTGCCGACAATGATGAGCCCAACAACAACAATGATGCCAACACCACTGCAATTCCGCAGAATGAGATGCCGGCAGATGAAGATCTACCTCCTGTTCCAAGCGATGATTCTGAAGTTGAAGATGGTCAGAACGTGGCAGTTAACACCTTGCCTGCCAACGATGACCAGCCAGCTGCAGCAGTTAACACTTTGCCTGCTGACAGTGGCAACACCAATTTCCAACAAAGACGCCGCAACATGGATCAAGGAGAAATGGCCTGGCTCAGAAACTTCCAGCGTCAGAGAAGACCCTTGGATGAACCAAAGAATGACTCTGAGCAGAAACGCCAAAGGATCTACAACAGTGTTGAAGTTGGTTTCTACAGTTCCAATGGTGAGCACAACAAGTTTGCAGGTGACATGTTGCCTGGTGGTTGGACCTATGATGAAGTCTCCAACTCCTTTGTCCTTGGCAAGACCCAAGACTTTTGGTCAGTTGAAGAAGGTTTCCTGGTCCGAAATCATGTCATTGCACGTGACTCCTCATGGAGACCAACTGCCGATGCCATCAAAAATGTCCCCATTAAGTTGGGAGACTTGCAAGCCCTGAAAATCACAATGCGTGAAGGTGCCTCAACTATGATGGTTGACTCTGTTGCTGCTGCCGAGCGAAAGATTAGCAAGGATGGTTTCTTTGGAAAAACGTTGTTTCCTCTCACCAAAGAAGCTGCCCAAAAGCTCAAGATGCCATACATAAATCTCAAGAAGAAGATCAGTAAGTCCACTTCCGGCTCCATGGAAAACTCACCCTCTGAAGTCTGGATGGCTGCAACTCGCCCTTTGAAAAAGAAGAAGGACAACGAGGCTGATTTGAAAGAATCCCGCATGACAGTTGAAGACCGCCTCACCTTCATGACAGCAAAGAAGGCCGAGCTGCAATCAATTTTTGAGAATGGAGTTTGGCAACTTGAACTTGAGCCTGAGAAAGCATCAGAAAGCCGCATTTTGAAAGCACGTTTTGTTCTCAAATGGGCAGATGATGGTAAAGGTGGCACAAAAGCCAAAGCTAGACTTGTGCTGCAGGGATACTCCGATCCCGACCTGCTATCTGGTAGCCTAGAGACAAGCTCTCCAACCCTGAACAGAACGTCAAGACAGGTACTGCTGTCCATTGGTGTTTTGAACCAATGGGAGTTTCTATGTGCCGATGTGGCTACAGCCTTTCTGCAGGGAGACCAACAAGCCCGTGAATTATGGTGCAAACTCCCCAGAGATGCTTGCACGCTGCTGAACATCAAACCCAACTCCTTGATGCGCCTCCTCAAGCCCATCTATGGCCAAGCAGATGCTCCAAGAGCCTGGTACCAAGTCGCCAGACGACGACTGGAAGAAGTTGGATTCACCCAGCACAAACTGGATGGTTGTTTGTTCAGACTGCATGATGCTGAAGGAAATCTATGTTGTTTGGTTGGATTACACGTAGATGACATGCTGATTAGTGGCGACCCTCACAATGCCTGCTACAATTCAGCCAAGAAGTTGTTGCGTGAAAAGTTCAATTTCAAACACTGGACTCACATTGATGAACGTGAGAAGCTTGATTTTTGTGGATGTTCGTTTGTGAAAACCTCCTTTGGTTATCAACTTGGACAGCCTGACTACTTTAGCAAGATCAAGCCGATCACCATCGACCCGAAGCGTCGAGACTCAGCAATGGCCACGCAGAATGAGGTTAGTGCTCTCCGAGCGGTGCTTGGTGCGCTTCAATGGCCCAGCACGCAAACAGCCCCGCAACTTGGTGCAACAGTTTCTCTCCTCAGTGGTCAGATCACAGCTGCTACAACAGAAGACTTGCGTGATGCAAACAAAGCTCTGAAATTCTTCAAGGTCAACAACGATGTTGGACTCCAATTTCGTCCTTTAGGTGAGATTTCAAATATGGTTTTGGTTGCAATGAGCGATGCCTCATGGGGAATTCGACGTGAAGGCCACAGCCAAGGTGGTTACCTTCTCATGCTTGCTCCAAAAGAAATCCTGGATGGTGAAACCACAAACTACATCATTTTGGATTGGAGAAGTTTTCGTTTGCCCAGGGTGTCCCGAAGCTCCTTGAACGCTGAATCTCAAGCATGCGCAGCTGCTATGGATAGTTTGGAATACACCCGAACACTGATCCAAGGATGTCTCAATGCTGACTACACTCTGCAATCTCCAGGTGAATGGGTGATCAGCAAAACAGCTTTGGTGGTTGATGCAAAAGCTTTGTATGATTCAATTCGTGCAGAAGTTCCCCAGCTTTCAGGTGACAAACGAACCAAGATTGAGGTGATGATTGTGAAAGAAAAGATGCAAGAGTGCCAAACACTTTTGCGATGGGTTTCAAGTGAAGCACAGTATGCTGATGGCATGACCAAACCCTCAGCACGTCAGTTGCTCACTGACCGCCTTAGAACTCACATGTTCAAATTGCAAGCGGATGAAGATTTTGTTGCTGCAAAGAAGAAAACTCAACAACAAAGAGAAGCAAATGCCCGCAAGTTTGCCCTCTCAAAAGCTGCTAGCAAGATAGGTGGTTTAGCTCATTTGATTTTCATTTCTCATATCATGCCCGTCACTGGTTTTTCCTCCGATGAAGCCTCATGGTCCGATGATGCAATGCGCCTATTTGTGACTATGATGATGTCTTTCCTCACTGGATGTTTTTGTATTTGGATGCTGCTTGGATTTCCGAAGATTCTCCGACAGGAACCAAAGCGCGTGGCCTTTCACCTTGCCAAGCACAACAAGAGCGTTCAATGCGAGATCGAGTACGAGGAGATGTCTCACATGTCCTATCAACTACATCTTGAACAAGAAGACAAAGCGAGACTGGAAGACAGCTTCAAAAGGGAGATTGAAACACTGGAAAACTATGCACAGGTGATGAAAGATACAAGCGACACAAACAAGGAGGATGCCGACAAGTTCTTAAGTGAACTCAAAACTCTCAAAGTATGACTTCAAGACGTTGAACAAACCTTGACAGCAAAGATTCAAGAAGTGATTGAACTGGAACGACAGATTTACCAAGTTCAAGACTCTCTGGATCGAGCAAACCAAGCCAATGCAAACATGCGCGAGCTCCACGACCACGAGATCGAGTTCCGCAGAGAGGTCTACGCCCTCAACAAGGCACACCGCTTCCACCTCTTCGATGATTGCGACACACTGATGCATGCACGACCCATCACTATGTATGTCTGCAAGGAATGCGAAGAAAGACGTGAGAAGGAAATTGCCGAGATGGATCAATACCAGCACGGTTGGCGCTGACAGATCTGGAACAATGGATGGACTGGAATAATTCCCATCCGCAAGCGATGGATGGACTGGAACATTTCCCATCCGTACAATACAACGGTTTGCAAAATACAGTTTTTACATATACCCGGCAGACTGGAATTTTCCTGCCGATGAATGCAATGCAATTTTTCCATGTACAACAGCTGACTGAAACTTTTCGTGCCGACAACTACTGGCTGAACGGATTCATTTACAGCAGAAATGAAGCAAATGGTTGCAAGCAACACTGCTTGTTTTTGACCAACTCTTTTCCTCCAATGTGAATTTGTCGCTGACAACTTACTTGGAAGCCCTGGCCAGGTCACAACTCCATGCTGCTCACCGCCGCTGTTGGATCAACTTGGCCAAAGGGCCCTTGAGCTTGAGCTTACGCTTGCCCCTGATGAAAACCTTTGTGGGACTTTGGGTGCCTGCACGTGTTTTCCCCGAAAGGACATCCAACTTAGAGTGTGGTTTGTCTGTTGGTTTGGTTGTTTCAACTGAACTCTTCATAGGTACCCCATCCAATTTGTCAATTGGTCTGTTACTGATCCTGGATTAGCTTTTATATCACAAACTAACAGTTGAATGGGGAAAATGATGAAAAACCATCAAGTTTGGACCCTATTTTCAAACAAACCCATGTGGGGGTGAAGTAATGTACTAAATCTTATATCTGACCTGACAGCAAATCTGGATTTGCGAACAACAAAGGAGGATTTAGTGACAAACAGATCAGTGATGGAGGGCATCTAATAGTCCATGCCTATGTTTGCCAAGTTTAGCCATTTGGGTTTTCTTGAAACCTCAAATGAAAATAGAATGGGCTTGCTATTGGGGCTATGGCCGGTCTCACTGGGTTTAGAAGACCCACAGCTTGCAGTGCAAGCTCTTCTGGTTTCCGGAACAGAAAATTGTATTTAACATCACCGACCTACACAGTATCTTATCAATTCACCATAAGCTTGTTGGAATTGGCTGTGGGACTGTGCGATTCTGATGCTCCAGAAACACCACTGGCCAGGGTTACACTGGCAAGTCTGGGTGGGTTCTAAGAATGAGTCCTTCGCTTGAGTTTCTTCACTTCTCTACGACAGTCAAGCCTTTGCAACGAAGCTTAATCGATGGTCAAAATTGATGGGTTCATTGGCTTGCAAGAGCCCACTTAACTATATATAGGTATATATTTGCTATAAACCATAGAATTCAGCTAGTGAAGTAACCCACCATCTGTGGCATGCGGGTGCCACCGAGGAAGGAGCAGGCGGAGCAGGGCTCTCAAGACGGGAGCTGCGCAGAAATTCAGACAGGCCATGATAAATGAGTAGAGGCAACATCTTTCCCGGATATGGGGATCAATAGCTACAAATACAGCTTAAGTTGGGGAACATTCATAAATCCCACAGTTATGGCCATTTATCACTTCTAAGTACTAAGAAAACCCCATTTATAGAATGTATAATCCCATAGAAATCACCACTTATAACTGGTAGCCATGGCCATAAATCCCAGCTATTTTGATGTGAACTTCACAGGGGTTATCACAGTGACAAAAAAGCCATTCCCAGCCATGTCGTAAGGCTCCTGACGGCCTCGAAGGTGCGGTAATTTCCAATGCCATGTTTACCACCCAGTTTCCTAATGGTAAAAAATAGCACCTATAGAAATGGCGATGATTTGGGAGATGGTTTATGAAATTGTTGTAGCCACAGTAGTCCAGGTTAGTGAGTATTTAACGTATATCCCCACATGGAACTAGGTTATGAGATGGCCCTTAGACACGTACTTGCTCCGATGCATATCCAAAAAGGGGCCGAGCCCGAAGATGGATTCATCATGTTTCTAGTAATTTTCCACACCAATTCTATGGTTCCCATTTATATGTGTAAATCCCCAACTAAACCAACATAGAGTTTGTGTTAAGGGGATTTATTTGGGGATCATTGCTTACATTCCCAAATATTTCTAAATCCCCATCCCTTACATTCCCAAATATGTGTTAGTCATCATCTTACAGGTTGTTAATGTTAGTTGGGGATGGGATTATTACAGTCACGGGATGATTTGGCCATGCTCGATCTGCGAGTGTCATCAAGTGTCATCCCAACTGACACGGCTTCATCGTTGTGTGGGAACGGCGGGTGACAAAAAGAAACAACTAAAGAAATGAACGGCGTGATGATGTTCATAGAGGTCATATTTCGACCTGCTACATCTGTCATCTCCTGAACTGATTGTGGTTTCAAACACTTCATTATATTGTTTACTTCCAACCATAGAAATGGATAGAAATGGGATGATGATTCCCAGTTGACGATGTTTTTTCGGATTGGTGTTGCAACCAACCAATGAACCATCTTGCCACGGGGTATGCAAGCCGCGTACCAGTGGGCAAAGCTTAGTTTTGGAGCGGTGTCGTCCCGGGATCGTTTGGTTGTTATCCAAATATGAGTGTGTACGTGTGTATATAATATCTGAATGCACACACATAGACATAGATAGAAAATATATGAAGATATGCAACCGACAAGATGATGGTTGGGTATGTTTTACACTTGGGTATGTTTTACCAAAAGGAAACCTTTTTCCAGGACAACCGGTCCGAGTAAACAGTGGACGACTGACCAGGCCTACAGGGAGTATGAGGATGCAGAGGGTACTTGTATGATCATCACAGGAGTTGACTGTTGTGATAAACGCAATGTGGGAGATAATTTAACATAGCCATGGAAAATCCCTTATAATTGGAGTTTTTAATGGGAAAATCATCTATAAATTCGCTATTTTCCCAGAGGGTATCATTAAGGCAAACGACAGCTAGACCGCACATTTCCAGTCCAGGAATTCCTGAAATATTTTCCAGTCCATATTTTGAAAGAGCAAATACCCTCTGGTGATCAAGCATGGCAATGGACAATCCCCAATTTATAGATGATTTTTCCATTTAGAATCATTTAGATGTCTTTTTTTCTCTGGGATTTTCATTGCTGCGTTTGATTACCAGTGTAATATGTGTTAGTTTCTCCTGCTGGTTGTCAGTCAATCCCTGTGCCTTTCTATAACTCGGGTTTTGACCCAAACGAAACCAGGGTCGATTTGTGAATTTTGGAGGATGATATTACATATGGATATTCAAACATATTCAAACTATTTAACGACATTAGGGATATGAGATATTTTTGGATATTAACACGGATTGAAACCATTGTTTATTTGGTCGATAAGTGACTGTTGTTTTGGGATGTTTAATCTCTATTGTTTTTGTTTACCCTCTAGTTATGACTAACATAGCCATGGTATAGATGGCCCATAGAAATAGATGGCTTACCTATTAATAGCATGGTGATTTTCCATGGCGATCTGTTAGTCATAACCAGATGGTAAGTGGTTTGAAATTGTTTGTTTCTGGATAGTTTAGCGTAGTTCCTATGATCGGGGGACGGGACTACTATGAAATGATTGATTTCATATAACCAATCAAGTAATGTCCATTGCATTCTATTCTATTATAGAAGTTATAATGCATAGCTAGTTTGGTCCTTTTGATCAATTGACTGATCATTTCGGTGGATTGCATCATCAAACTGATTGACCAACCCAATCAACTATTAGTTTTTGTTAAATCATGTTAAGTTCATTGGATTGTTCAATGATTCACAGACTTGGATGGTATTTTTTAAGCGGAGGATTTTCCCTTAGAATCCATTGACATTAATAAGTAATGATAAGAGCTACTATCATCACTCCTATAGTCATAGTCGATCTTACTATATTACTCGTACTATATTATTATAGCAATTCATAAGTACTACTATGATTTTTGAAATGGGATCGCCTGAATCCGATCCTGATCAGCGCCGCTCGACTCATAGTCCGCAGGATCTTGTTACGTCGTAGTTTGGAGGTCACAGTCTGGGCAAACCTTGGCTAAATAGGTGTTTGGTCTGTTATTTTAAGCTGATTTATTTACAATGTATGCATTGTATAATGTAATAATATGATATATCGTATTATTATTTGTAATCATATTATATATGATTTTATAATATATCATCATATTATATTATATCAAATTATATATGTTATATTGTATCATATCATATCATATTATATTATATTATGTTATATATTATTATGTTATATCATATTATATTATATCATAGTATATCGTGTACATTATATATCATATATCATAAATTATATACTATATTATATATATATATTATATATTTTTTTATATATATAGCATATATTATTTATTATCTAAGTGTTATTACATATTATATATTATATGTAATATAATATATATATATATGATATATATATAATATTCTAGTTTAATATATTTCATTATATTATATTATGTTTTATCGTATTGTATTAGATAATTTTGTATCGTATTGTTTTGTATTGTTATATATATATATATTATTGGCTCATATGTTTATGCAAATATTCTATATCTGTAATATATTTTATTCAACGGATATTTTAGAAATAATAGTTTCAACATGTAAAAACGTGTGCTGTATGATTTGTCTAAAGGGGACAGTTGTATGTATTTACATATATATATAATATACATATATACATATATACATATCTATATTTGGCAGACCATCGTTAACGATGACGATAGGCTACGGCTAAACAATAAGTTTTTTACTGGTTAATTGTGACTGGCAATGCCTAAAGATTGTGGATACGAGCAATGGAGTCCAAAGAGGCTTGATGCTCCGTTGCCATTCTCCTGCGATGGAAAAAAAGTCGCAGGAGGGACACCAGCAATATGTTTTTCATACAAATTATGTAATAGCGACGGATACATATAAAAACATATTGTGGATAACTGCAATAAATTTTGTATAGTTTATAGTCTATATCCCTAATTATTTATGTGTTGTTTATTGAAATTGTTGTTTTAATACAAAAGAGGGACACCAGGATATGTGTGGATAAGTTGTAACGACCTCATGTCGCGACGTCACTGGCAGGTGAATGTAGTGGTAACTATCCCAAAATGTCGCATTTCAGATTGGCAAATGGGTCAATTTACCCAACGTATCCCAACTGGTTGGTGGTTTGGAACATTTTTTAGTTTTCCATATATTGGGAATAGTAATCCCAACTGACTAATATTTTTCAGAGGGGTTGAAACCACCAACCAGTGATGGATCCTCGTGAACCATCAACTGATATATACCCAGTAATTTTTCACAGCTGAAACCGCAAATGGCAGCATTTTTAACTGCTAAATGGCAGCGTGTTTTGGTCCATTGGGTACCCAAAAATTGGATGCTACTCAATTCATCATTGCTTTCTCCATAAACATGGCAGACACACCCAAATTCCAAACGGGCGTGCCGTTTGGAATGTGTGTAGCTAAATGCCATTGTGTTTCTGCTTCGGTCAGCTATATCGTTGCTGGCATGTCCCTATATATAAATCCCACATTTGTTGGCTTAACCCGGCGATCCATTCAAACATGTGTTTAAAACTTTCTTCTTACCCTTGAAAACACCATACATTGCAGGTAAGTCCCAGATCATCATGTTATGCCCCTTTATATTTTTTCATATCCCGGCATGCAATATGATATCCCATATGCTATCGCTTTAATGCTCCATATCCCAATTCCAATCGGTGGTCTCTAATGATCTGTGAAATAATAACCCATGGCGCATAACAATGGTTTCACTCCCGACTTTTGAGGGAGGACAGCCCCAGTTCAACCACCCCCTGCGTTCCAAGTTTGATGGGGTTACCGGGTTACCCTCGTGGCTCTTTTAATTTTAACATAGGGAAGTGGAAAAACTGGAAAACGGCCCATGCCTTTAGTTCAAGGCTTTGCCGATGATCCGATGCTCTCCATGGACGATCCCCATCATATCTTCATTGATTGTACCATCTGGTTATGACTAACATAGCCATGGAAAATCACCATTTTTAATAGGTAAACCATCTATTTCTATGGGCCATTTTCCATGGCTATGTTAGTCATAACCAGATGGTAAATGATATCCCCATCCCATTGTTTCCGAGTTGATTGTTGGTAAATCTCCCCATAGTTCATGGCTTTGAAGCCTTATTGTTGGTATATTTTCTTACTCAGATGGGCAGTGGGGATTAGTTCACTGAGTGGCTCATGACTCATTGGATTGGTTGGAAAAAATTTCAGGAAACCCCATATTTCATGGTAAAAACTATGGTTTCCTGTATATTTTCCCTTAAACCAATCCAATGAATAACTAAATCATGGATTATAACCCAGTTTACTAACTTACTTAACTAGTCCCAAGGGCCCATCTAGATCCACCTGAAAAA